CAGTGCCATTATCCCACCTCCGAGAGATGTTAGGCTTGGAATGGAATCCGAACCAGGTTTTGTTTTGGGCTCCTTTGTGTGCTAGTGGCGCTACTACTTCCACCCTTCATATTTTGAGGTCCTACAAACCTGTAACCGAGGCAAAGTCCATAATCTGCCCATTCAGCATCGCTCTTGTAATAGGTTTGATTCACACCGTCAAGCACAATATGTCTCAGCATCGTCACCAGTTCGACTGGTTTCTTACCGGAATCTGAAAAGCCGTCGTACATTTGGTGATTACCAGGACAAATTTGTACTAGTCCCAAAAAAAGACGTACAACCCGACGGAACCGGCTTCTTTTTCCCTTTGCCTCGTGCGGCAGCCGGCGTAGGAGGAATTACGACGCTACGTGGATATCGCTTCTCGCATCTGCAATTGTCAACTCAGAAATGGGGAGCTGATCTACTAGAAGATGAAGAAATGGGATTGTAGGTACTTACTTTTCATGACACTCTTCTTTGGAGAGAAAATTGTTTCCACTCTTACCACATCCAGTGTAATGAAAACCTTTACACTGGCGTGAACGCTTGTTGAAGTAGTACCTAAAATCAAAAGGACTTTGTCTGTTCTAGATGTTCCTGCAGAAAATGTCATCCTGACTGCTGTGAACTCCACTGCCTGGGCGCAGAAACGCTAACCAATTGACACCCTCACTCCACCCCACGGAATCCAAGGAAGGCTTTCAATTCCATTGTACGTGAAGGGGACAACTTTCGTGAAAGGATGTTGGAAGGCGGAACAACCATGCCCTCCAGCGCGTTGGGTGGGGTGGAGGGTGTGGTTCACTAGGACAGAAAGCGACTTTTTCGCGTTTCGCAGCGCGAAACATTTTTCGCTGCTCCAGGTCCACTATGATCAGCGGTGGACCTGAGGTTCCTGCAGCGAAAAATGTTTCGCGCTGCGAAACGCGAAAAAGTCGCTTTCTGTCCTAGTGAACCACACCCATTTGCTTCCTGTACTGAGCCTGCCCCTGAGGTGAAGAGGGAGGGGGTAAGGAGGCGATCGGGCTGCCTGGGTTACCCGGCGAAAGGAATGGCGCGCGGCGAAAAAGAGACGCAGACGGGTCAGGAGGCGGGTTGACGCGTTTGCAGTGTTCTGCTCTGCGTCAGACAAATAAAATATCATAGACGTTGCATATTGCCTACTACGCGCTGCGACTCGTCCGCCCTGATAGACCTCTCGTGCTCTGTCTTCTCGCCCGCGCACCCGAGCCCTCACTGTCAAGCCGGGGTGGGGCGGAATAATCTAATTTGCGAAAGCATTTCGGTAGTTGGTTTTGTGCGGTGAACAGGCTGCTTCGAGTCCGTGCAGCTTCAGGAAACTGGAAATCAAAAATCAATCGCTATTGAAAATGTTAAGTATACCTCAGCTCGAATCATTAGGTAGCGGTCCTTCTTTCCCAAGATACGAGGGATATGGAACATTTCCCAGCCCCTTGAAAAATTTTGCTCGTCAGGCGCTTGACAGTTGGCCAAGGGTTCGCCGCGAAAAACTGAGTCAAATTCCGTTCCCAGTTCAAGTCGTCGCGTCTTTCTCAAAATCCCACAGCTCCTAACATTCCGCCTACAGGACCAACCGTCGCGCTGGCGATTCTATCAACAGTAGATCGCATTCTGTCAATCTGCAAAGGATAGGTTCGTAGTTGGCCGAACTGCAGGTCGTGTTTTCGAAGCAATAGGAAGGGCTTTTCCGAGAAGTTCGAGGAAACTTTCCTCAAACTCGGAAATTGTTGGGAGTTCTGCCGTTTGAAGAGTTATCATGGTCGAATGCGAGGGTCGTATATCGAAACTGGCCAGCTCGTGCTACGATCTATACCCGCCTAATAAAGAATAACCACGATTCAGCAAGCAGGGCACGACGTGAAGATCGCGGCAGAGACCAGGCGTTCCTTGTGCGTCGTCGGAATTTAAGACCCGTTTGTATTTGAGGCCATTATCAGAGCGCTTTGAGTCGGGCTCTACATTTTCACAGAAACACGTGGGCAGAAATGTGGCCTGATAAAAAGTGATAATATTTCATCAATATGGTCTATTTGTCAGAATCGTAAGGGAATCAACACTGAAGCGAGGCCTTTAGCTTGGTTACTTTACCGCTGATTAGCACACGAGATATTAAGACAGCGTGACGGTATCCATAATCCTCACCTATGTAGAGAGAGAGTGGAAGTACGCGTTTTGGCATTTCTGCGGAACAAAAATGGGATGACTTCAATCAGGTAAAAGATGTCGCGCACCGTACTCATGGTTAAAGCGAATGCCTATATCAGCCTGTAAAAGTATCCGACAACCCCGATCCAGCTCATTTGCTTACCTGACAAGTTAGACCACACTCGCTGTGCTTGACGTCGCGAAGTCAGCATGCACAGGCTTTGGTAACCTAGCACTTCGAAATGTGTCCCGGACTTGTCAGCAATTCACTGATCACTGATCACTGATGTTTTTCGATTTGGGCGGCATATTTTGATAATTAACGACGAATTTAGTGGAGTATTCACCTAAATTGTCAGCAAGCCTGGAAAATGTCCTTATAACAGCTTTTCGACTGGCTCAATGAAAGCTTATTCTTGTGAAATCGTTTTTCGTGGTTCTAGAAACTCAATCGGTCTCATCAAGACGGAGCAGCCTATGAAATCAATAGGTGGCAAGCGATACCTATCGATTTCATAGGCTAAATCAAGCTTAGGCTGCTAGAACTAGCTTAACTGGATTATCCGTCAAGAGGTTTAGCGTGGCGCGAATATTGGCGTCCAGCCTAAATCCACAAATATTTCTCGTCTCGTGGTAATCCAGACCCGCTTATCCTGTTGTCTCGAAACAATCTGCAGCACGAATTGATTTAATTCAATCAATAGTGGAAGTCCCCCATTTGTTCAGCGATTCATTAGTGGTGGGGCAGCTGAGAGATAGAGCGAGGCGCTATTCGCCTCGTCCTTCGACCTTCTCCACTTCTTGAACGCTCTCTCACGATCGGATTACTGTAGCCGTAGCGCAAATACAGGGAAAAAACTGACGAAGACTGAACTAATTTTCTAATCAAATGCGATGAAAAGACGGTTTTGGACTGGGGCTTATCTTAAACGGTGTTCACCACCGGTTCGCAACATTTTTGGAAAATCGATACTAGATCTCTTAGCGAATTGACTCCGTGGATAACTTTCCAGCACATAGCAGTCACGCAAAATTCCCCTCTCCTGTCGAATGAGATTATTTGGGGGATGAGAGGGTGGAGAAGGGGGGAAGCATGGAGAAATCACTATGGTATTTGTTTAATTGTTTCACTGTAGACCAGAAAACGGCTTTTTTTTCCAGTTCTTTGAAATAGCTATTGGTTGATAATGATTAACGATTCGTATTTCGTGAAGATTTACCCCGCAGTTGCCAGCTTTATGAATCCATGATCGCTGGGAAGTTCTAAGAGGTAATTCCTTCATGTCGGACTACCTTAATATATCTATTAAAGTGTCTAACTAGGAAGATAAGGAGGGTGCGGTGATTGTAGGCCAACCAAGTCTCAAAAGTGCTGCTCAAAACTTGCTCGACAAGTGTCACCTTCGTCACATCGTCGGAGCTGAAAACCTTTCTTGTATAATTGGATCAGGTCGTTCAATGTAACCTACGATAAGTTGTGCTCACAATACCACTAGAAGGGGCAGCGTCTCAAACCATGCTCAGCATGAATTTTAGCCCAGGATACGCAGTTTTTGTTCATTTGAAGGAGATTTCGGAGGGGGGGGGGGGGGTGGGCGGAGTGGGTAAGAAGGTGGCAAGCAATGAATTGATATCAGCCTTATCCAAAAGCAACTAATATGGATGTCGGTCCATAGTCGACAGAAAAATACTGTGCAGGTCAAAATCACAACCAGTTGCCTTCACGAATTGACGAACGACGAGTGCGTGGCTCACCCATTAAAACGTGTATGTCGTCCTCTCTGTAGAATTGTGCGCTGCGCTCAGATAGGGCCAGCATCGTTCTCCCAGTGTTGTCTAATCACCCAAGCTCTGATCAAATGTTGTACGTGCTATTACGCAATTCGATGATGGACAGGGTAACCCGCGATAGGCGGATTACGGTACGGGGTGGAAACCGCAATCACGCCACCCGCACTCAATTATCTGGACCCAAGAGTTTTTTTGTGAATCAATCTTCTGAGAATATTTTCCGTTTTTGGTAGCATTCTAGTCAAATCCCTTTATTTTCACAAATTCCGGAACAGATGCGCAAGCAATAGTACTTTGCCTATAAGATTTATTATTTTTATTAGAATATAAAAAAGTCAGAAAAGGTGAAAAATTCAGTAATGGTACCTTAAAAAGGTGATAAATCAGTTTATGGGTGAAGGAAGGTAGATTCTGTTCTCTCACCCACATGCGGGTTGAGGCGGACATATGACCGGACATATTCACAAACTGGCGGCGCCGGTGCAATGGTTACGGTACGCTCGGATTCGCATCACTTACCAGCACCCCATTAGGGTAATTGGCAGAACAAATAGACACCCACATCGGTCAGACGGACTGACCGGCTGACGGCGTCGAGCTCCACACCGCGACGTAAAGCGGTTTTTAAGAACGTCTCCGGGCATCGATTCCTCAAATGATCTCCCCTCAATCAAGTCTCCTGATCCTTGTTTCGGCTGCTGACCTAAGGAAACAGAGCTGAGAGTAGCTGAGGGATAGAGTTATCCGTTTTGACAGTCTCTTACGCTGCCCTTTAATCCCCACTTTCTTCTTTTCAAATAAAACAGTTGGGTTTGAGTAAAAACATAGAAATTAGAAATGTTTAGGGGGGGGGAGGGAGGTGAATTACCTAAGAATTAGTTCGACTTACGTTTGGCACGTGCCCTTAGATGGAAGCCAAACTGGGAAAAATACCCTCAAATTCATCGCTCCAGCCCATCACAACGGGTTTTGCTCATGAGTCTGAGAGCAATATTCCAGAAATCCTCGATGGTGTCCAGGGCCCCTTCTCAGTCACCGGTTCATATATAGCATACTTCGAACTAAAATCGATATACTGACAAGGACTTGGCTCAGCTGACTGGAGTTATAGGAGGTCGAAATAGCCGTTGGTCCCTAGGCAGTTATAATAAAACGGGGAATTCTTTTCTCACAAAACAAACAGAAATTGTCCAATCGATAAAAATACATATAATATATCCTGAGGCATAAGAGAATTGAAAGCATGGAAAAGCATAACCTTTGGATAGGGTCATATAAAAGCGCTACAAGTTTTCTGAATTCAGGACTGGTATTAGTGTACGCGCTAACAACTACAACTGCTTTCCATCAAATGTCTTTAAAAAAGTCCTTTGGAAGTTTCTAGAATTGTATTTTCGGAAGCCCTAGAAATTTCAAGAAATCTTGAACTTTATGCACTTGTGCTAAAAATTATTCTCATTTGCTATTTTCACGATCATGAAAGGAACGTGAAATCAATAAGTTAAAAAAAAAGAAACCAGAATGGGCCAGGAAAATTCGTGGCATGTGTAGAAATTTGGCCTAAAGTTTCGAGGTCAATGCAGCCAAACGCTGATTGAAGACGGAAGACGTCAAGTAAACGTGTCTTGGGGTGCGATAGGAATCAGTATGAATGGGTTGCGTTGGTTGGTTGGGGGTGTAAGGGCGTTTTAAGAAGTATGGTACACATACGGCACACACACTCACACACAACCACACAATCCTATCAAGGGACGCGAGCACCAGCGCTCATGGCCTGGCACGGCTGAACTCGCGCAGGCGATTCCTGG